AACTTTCAAAATGAACTATTTATTTTGTCTCAGGCATTTGTCGGCGTTTCATAGACTGAAGAATCAATCAATAAATAATTAGTGGAAACATGGATAATAAGAGTAATCGTTTCTTTCAGCCCGTGGCATAGAGCTTTACTCTGACACTAAAACTGCAAATGGGTGCTCAGCGTTTAAGGATTTTGTTGTGACTTTGCAAAATGTTTTTCCATTAATAAAACCTCCTCTCCCAGCGCCCCACATGATGCTGCACTTGTTGTGCTACATGTATTGTCATTCATTAATGTATTGACAGAACATCTGTACAGTTTTGCAGCAGTTTGTAAACTGAATGTTTATTTCTTCTTAAGTGAAGGTTTAAAGACCCCAAAAAACATTATAATATAGGAAATGTTTGCAATACTGAGACGCACAATAGCAGCAAGTCAAGCGGAGAACGAGAAAAAAGTAGACGTTTGAAGCCCCACCTGTTTCTATATTCAAGCATTAAAGCAGCAGCATTTGGCATAATGCTTATTGAAACCGTAGTAATACATTCACTGATGAGTAAGTAGTTCCTGTAAATACTTTCAAACCACTTCAGATGAACAGCTGAGGGTATCGCTGGAGCAGGTCTCTTACTCTGGACTGCAGCTACTTGCTCCACATAGCACATCTAACACTGAGCATGTTCTTTGGAGTGTCTGTCTACATGTCTGCGTCAGTCTTACCGGTTGACATGGTTGTAAGGCTCAGCTCTGACTGACGAGGGGCCCACTAGAAAGAGTGGGAGGGGGGGGGCGGTCGCGTACTCTTCCTCAGGGATTGACTCCACAGTTGACAGTAATTTGTAGTACTCATCTTCTCCATCCAGAACTTTGATTTGACTGTGATGGAAAGAAGGCGAGAAAGCGGTGAGAGGTACGATGTGAAAATCTAGACATTTAGAATAAAAACAATATTTGCAGAATCAGCAATGAGTCTTTTTTAAAGTATACTGAGCTGAACCAGGATGTCATTTATTGTGCAAATACAAGTCAGACCTTCAACAATTCAAATGAGCACGCTGACAAAGCCTTAATATGTAACCCTCTCTAATGACGCAGAGCAACTGCTCAAAAAAAGCCTGTTATTTTGGGCTCTCCATTTACATTATAAGAAAACAACTCCATTTCTGGATTCTCCTATTCCACAAAGGGCCTGCTCTGTTTAGAGTTGCTGTAAGTAGGAAAGCAGTTATTTACCCAAGTTTTCTCGGCTTCCTCTTGCTCCCCTGGTAATACAGAGTTCTCTGAGGAAAGGGCCAAGAGCACACAGTCAAAAGATGAGCAGAGAGTCATTAATTTTTAATTCAAAGTGATTTTGTGTTGAATGCGAGCAGATGCTGATAATATCAGAAGTCACAGCATAATTTTTTCTGATCAAAGGGCTCAAGTGAGTCTGATGAAGCATGCATCTTGCTCAGCTTTGATAAACCACATCAATTATTCACCGTGAAGGCAGACATCCTGACATGAAAGCAACAGATAAAGAGCATAAGCACATGTTCAAGACAAGAGGCAGAGAAGCGTGGGGGTGGGGCTCCAGGGTCTGGCACAGGTAGGTTTAATTGTATTATCATGTGGAACCAAAGTCAGACAAAGGCCTTTATCGGCACTTTGAACTCACATTTAGCTGGTTGTAGTACAGGCTGTCTTCGGGGCTGTTGAGCAGCTTGGGCTGCTGGCCCCGCCGGCGAGGAGTTCTCTGCTGCAGCTTCATCACTGGACCTGCAACAGAGGAAAAATGAGGGCAGGGATCCAACCAAGCAAAACAACAACAAGCACCGACATGATGATACTGATGGTGATGACAGCAGCAGTAAACAGACTCTGCCCTCCACTTTTTAAATCTGCACCCTCGTGTGACAAAGTGGCAGAGGAATATTCTAAATGTACATTGGTTCAGGTTTAAGATTATGTAATTTCATCGATGAGCTGACTCAATAAGAGATTATAATTACATAAATCCACACAGATGTCCATATCTAATGATATCTCTCATCACAGGTGCACAGCCCAAATGGGTTTCATTTGTGAAATAGCTCAAATGCAGAAGGAGGCAGAGGTGAGGGTGGTGTGTAGTATTACTTTTCAGATCTTTCAATTTCCGTGGACAACAACCCAAAACAAAAAAACGTACACATCACTAGAACTTACTGTTTTAGAAACAAGTTAAAACTATTAAAGTGCCTGTTATAATACATACATAAACAGCTGTGACCCTCTTGAAAGTGGTTGCTAACAGTCCCTGAAGAAGCACTGATAATATTACTGATTATATTTTAGTCGAAAGATATCATTTAGGTTGATGCGTTATAAAAAAATGATGTTTAGCTTTGATTAACATTGTAAATGAAGAGGTAGTTAGTACTGTGGTGAGAGGCTAAACAAGATCAGGGTCGAATAGCAGCTTTTAATGAATTACAACTAAATTATCCAAGATGTTAAATAAATTAATGAGAGAAATGTAACCACTGCAAAGGTGTAAAATGCACCAGGTGCTGGTCAAACATGAAACATAATGAAAAAATAAAGCCACTTTGACATCATTAAAGGAGTTTTCTTCTGTTTTCAGTCTTAATGCTAAACTAACGAGCGGCCATTTGTACAGAAATGAGAGTTGTATAAATCCTCTCATCTAAGAAAGTGAATTTGCATTTTCCCCAAAATGTTAAATCAAAAGAGTGTTTTGTTTTAATCATAGCAGATAGTAGAGGAACGTTTTTAGGATATCTGCATAGGAAATGTTTCCTGTCTCCCCGATACAATGTAAGTGTACAGAATTTGATATGATGTGGGTGAATGGACTATTTGAAGTAAACTATAAACTGGCATATAGACATTACATTTCCACCAATCCACCATTCACAAGGACCTCAACAACTCTACACTGACTCAGCAGATGTGCTGTAGTCTGGAAGATGTTCAGCCTGCTACTTCCTACCGTAACCAATGACACTAATGTGAGCTGTGGCTAATCTGTTAAACATAGTAAGAAGCCATTTGATTCCCACCCATTGAATGTTGTCTTCTCTACTCTCTGCTCTCTTGCAGCAAATAACCATATCTTTGGCAGCGTTGTTTTCCTTGATTGTTCAAAACAGTGTACTGAATAATTAATTATTCATCGCACCACAGAAAGAGAAATGTTACTGACGCCTTACAAAAGATAACGAGCTACTTGATAACCCCATTATTTAAACACAACTGTTATGAGGGCTTGTTACATTCTTCCATTCAGCACACCCAGGGTTTCAAAATTCATAGGTTACAGAAGTGTGTTTTAGAGCCGAGACACCTTTACAAGGAAGCATCTATATTTAATGTCAGATAACGTTTCATCTTCTTTGCTTGCGTTTCGGGTGAGACAGGACATTTCTTCATCATCTCTTGCTACCTCGGCTTCTCTACCTTGACTAAAGCTGCATTTGCTTTTTCCATCTTAACACTACTTTGTACTCACTTTGAACAGACCTCATCACATCTCAATCCTATACATCAAAGAGCAAGCTCCCCCCTGCACCCCTCCATATTTCCTCGGCTTTCTTGATGTTATTCAAACCAGCGCAGGTTTACTAAAGTCACACTTTGTAAATGCCCGCAAAGTTCATGTCAGTTCTGAGATATTAGCTAACTTTTACCGTGAATCTTATCTATCCGTGCCTCTGAGGTGTTAACCGACCACTGTGTGAATCTCTGTCACCCCTGACTGAGTATTAGAGGATATTTGGATATATTTCATGTACTGAGGAAAATAGCTGTGGAAGGAAAACAGGTTTAGCTGCACCAAAAACTCTTGAAATATTATATTAAATTGTACAAAGTTGCTTCTTAGCTTTTTGAGACCTAAAGAGCTTCATCTACATTGTGATGAAAATAAATAAACCAACTAAAATAAAATGTTTGCACACATTACATTTGAGTTAAACAATATGTATTTAGGACATTGTGGTGCTAATGATGAAGAAATGGATTTGATAAGCAAATGTGTTATTCCCATGAAATTGCATCAAAGCATTCAATCACAATTAATGAATCACAACGTCCTTGAATGAAGTTTCCAAATTCATCCCGTTGTCAAATAGACTGCAGACTCCATGTTTTAAGCAAACGTATGATTTGTTTATTTCAAAAATAGCAACTCCACAAATGTAAATATGAGGCTCTGACTCTTAACATAATTCACTGCAAGCATTACAGTATGAGTCCAAAGACGCTCTGCTGTAGCTAACAAATGAGATCTGTTGTAGGCCTGAATGAATGATTCAGTATGTCAAATATTTTATTGGGAAAAAAAAGTGCAATTTTCAAACTCAAGTGCCACACTCTTAACTAACTGAGTCCAACACGATTTTAAATGTTTTTGTTCAAGGAATCAACATCTCTGTATCATTGTAGGTACGCTAGGGGAATCGCTCTAAGGATGACGTCTTTTGTTTGTCACTTTAGTCAAGATAATAACGGTGGTGATCCTGTCTTTTTATCAGTTCAAACATTTACTTTGGTCAGTACTTTGTTTTATGAGCCAATACCCAAAGCTAATAATATTCCCATTAGCTGAACATTGTTTTTAGACCTTTATTAGCAAGCGTTAGCATGCTAACATGGTTTTCATAGCATGTGAGCATGCTGACATAAGCATTTAGTTCAACACCATATAACTGCATTTCTTTCTTTGTTTTTGACACTTTCTTATGTAATTATAGTTAGTACAATCATAGTTTGTTTAATGATACAGGGCTGTAGTTTATTTGAGAACATTTGAATCATTGCTGTAATATTATTTGAGATTTACAATTGGATGTTTTCCTAAACAGCTGCTGGGTGTCCTGCTGCTGACATGAAGCCCGAAACACTAAACACGGGGGTTGAGCATCACCGCATCACCATTTATCCATTATGACCTGCAGCGATTAGAGCGTGTAGCAGATCAGAGGATGGGTCAAAACTCCCATCTCTGTGCCTCTGTTTGGGAAATCACTGCCATTTGATCCAGGCCAGCCCCAGAGGAATGCTGCTCCTGCAGATATATTACAGCAGGCTGCCAAACCGGCCTCTGGCAGGAGAGCGCGGCTTGGACCTGAGGAGGCAGAGCTGGGAAGAGGTCAGTCAGTGGCTCTCATTGGGGGTTTGCTAAATGATCGTGGGTAATGTCTGCCGTTTGGGGTGGGGAGGAATAATGGTCGGCTGGGAATACAGAGGCAGCGCGGTTCATACAATATTGATTTCTCCGTATCAAAAGAAAGCCAAGCGGAGTTTGCTCTTCTCGGTGAGAAACTTACATATTGTACACGTTTGCTTCTTGAGATAAAAAGGACTGCAATTCTTTTTGAGATAGGTGTTTCTTTCATTTTCAAAGAGCAGCAGATGACTCGAGTTACGTCTCTAAATACCACTTTGAAATCCCTTGAAAATCAGAACGCTCCTTCAACAACAACATTAAAGAGCTGCTAAAAGGGATTTTTAGTGGAATAAATTAGAGATGTATCGATTTACTTCAGAGATCACGTGCTTGAATCACCTGACTTCTCTCGGACCACAGAGAACCACTAGGGCTTTGTTTATTCAGATGGAGGGAACAGAGTTACCAAAAGGCATGGATTATAAGGAAAAATCATCAGCAGGGGCCTTTGATGTCTACATGAGGCATGCGCAACCCAGACCTCTCTTTTTACCTCACAACTGACTCTTCTCAAACACACACACACACGCACGGATGCACACACACTCAGACACAAGTACGCAAACACACGCACGGATAGTAGAGCTGCTCGATTATGGCAAAAATCATAATCTCGATTATTTGGGTCAATAATTGTAATTGCGATTATTAAATGCGATTATTCATTGACTTTGAAAACATCCATTTATTGGAGAAAAACATTTTGAACAGTATGTTTTTAACAGTTGATTAACCTGAACTTTACGTATAATAAAAAGATAATCGTTTTATTTAGATTACGTTGTTTTCGTAATCGTTGCAAGCCATAATCGTAATCGCGATTAAAATACGATTAAAATACGATTAATTGAGCAGCCCTAACGGATAGTATTCCTCAGTTGCAAACAGATATCTGAAGTTGAAGAGGATTTCCAGAACTTTTTACTGCTCTTGAGATTTATCACCGCCCTTTTCATTTAGATTTTTGGAAATCATACTTAAATAGCAACTCATGTGCTTTAAATTACAAGACAAACTGGTCAGATCCTGCAGATAATGCTACAAAAACAGCCTGCATCTGTTTTCACTAATGCAAGCAGAGGATGTTGTTACTTACAACCAATTTTTCACACTGAAATCAATCATTTCCTCTGACAGCAAATATGGAACTTTGACTCCTAAAGAAATGTTTGCAAGGAGGAAAAGTCTCTGAAGTTTGTGGAAGTCGATCATTTGTCACAGACTTAAAATGTGTAATTTATAACAAGCAGCATGCGTAAGAGGTAATAAGTGAGGAGGGAGATATGAATAACAAGGAAACCAGGTTGCCAAAGATATTTTAAATATGAAAATGATTGGCTTTTTTCTTCTAATCGGTTTGATCACTTGTACATTTATCCGATAAAAACTACATTTTGTTATCCACGATTGCAAACGAATAAAGTCTTCCGTTTGGAAAAACTTTGTTAAACTACATCAAATGAGTGAAGTGCGAAATTACAGAGAACTTGGAGTATCATTTCCCACCTAGATTTTACGTCTGAGGAGATTATTCTGTTGGAATTGTGATGATGAGTAGTTTGGAAGTACATCCTGTTAACTACTCCCACTGACATTAAGAGGATTACGTAGGTAGCGTCAGACAGAGGCAACTCCTTTCCGTTAAGTTGAGTCTTTCCTATCCCCTCCAAATCTCTGCTGCCGCTACGTCGAGCCTGTAATTTGCCTAAAACTGAAGGCATCTGGTTAAGACGCGGCGATACGTGGAGACAGACGGATCAATCAAAAGGCAGGGAGACAGCGAGAGGGTGGGAGCCTATTTGTCTAGAGAACATGGAGAGGGTGGATCATTTGTCTGGCAGATGCATGTTGATATAGTGATGCTGCTGTTGATGCTTTGAAGGTGTTGGTGGGTTGCGGGGCAGCACCTGGTGGCTGCGAACCTTGTGGGAGGACATGTGGGGAGGATGTTAAAAAGAGGGAGGAGAGGAAAGTGAGATTTAAGGGTGAGTGTGGGTTTGACCTCAGTGCGGGTAAAACAGCATCCGTATTCCCCATGAGCTCCTTCAGAGAGCTCAAGGCTACGAACAAAATCAATTCTTATTGACTGTACCATGTTATGCACTGAGGGAACATAACTATATCCAATAACTCGACAAAAACTTCAATTATTTTCCGCACCATTTTAATTGTTCTCATCCCTCCTCGCCGAGGTTAACTATCTTCCAAGGCTCAGAGGTAATTGGTCTCCGTGTTGTGGCTCCACTTTATCACTGTCTCTCTCTCTTGACATGTATGTTTACCACAACTATAATCTTCAAAAAGCCTGTTAACATAAGTAGCTCAGCTTTCATAAACCATAAAGTCAGCTCTGACTGATCCTCAGCACCATCCTGTTTACCACGCTGAGGAGCATAAGCAGCACTCTGATCATATCTGCTGCTTGCTAGCAAAAGGCTTTCTTTCAGCACATGCCTCTGTGACTCATTTCCAAACATGTTGTATTCATATTCAGGTTTCGGGAGACAGGTGACGAGAGGTGACATCGTCTCTAGTGTGCAGCTTACATGACTTCACTGCGTACACAGAGAACCAAAGGTTGGTGCTGCAGACATCTGAGAGCGCCTGGAGTACAAAAAAGCTTTAATGCTCTATTTCCACCGTAAAATGCAACACTGCGGGTGTTTTACTAAATAGTAAGAATATTCGCCTAGCCTAATGTCAAATATGCACCGAAACGGGAAAATATCAAAATCATCTGACTCTCTAATCTGCTTTGTTTCACACATGAAAGAAAAAAACTGTGCTGACTAGGCTTTGTTAAATCACTCAGAAAAGACCCAACGTCCGTCAAACACATTGAAAGGTTCCAGGTCACGCCCCGGTGTTTTGGCTTTAATGGGAGCAGAGTGTGTGCGAGTGTGCGTGTGTCTGGAGGGGTGGAGTAATTCGATTTCCATGGCTAATTTTCAGTCTTTCTCCACTGGTGTCCTGAAACACTCCAGGTCGAGCTCCAGCCCGAGAGAAGCGATGCGATCACCAGAGGCGACAGCAGGATGAGACACAGGAAGGAGCTGGTCTCCAAACATCTGGCAGCGCACGGCTTCCATGACTCGCTCAACCTCAGGATGAAAAAAAAAGGTCCTCAGATCTGCAGGGATCAAAGTGTGCCCTGGGTGCCTCAGCCACCGTGGCCTCCCTCATCATATTCAAATGGGGTTTCCTGAAAGAAGAGGAGCCACAAGCAGACCTTGCAACACAAACGAGGCAGGAAGAGGGGCGACGATGAATACCTGAAAATCTGTGTGCGCTCCCCACAAAATAAGCCCTTGGCGGAAGAGGAAGAGGATTTTCTTTTTGTCAAGACATTTAAATAGAATATAACTGAACTGTCAGATATGAAATGTTATTCATGTGCTCAAGGCTAATTTACTCTGTATTGAGACCCTACCAAATATCAAAAAGCAGTCTGGGAGTGTTTGACTTACTGCAATAAATGATGCCAATGAGACCAAACTAGAAAAGTTTAAGGCTGCATTAAATAAGCGGTTCTCTTCCTGGACTTCAGGACAATGGGACATGAAAAATAACAACTTTGTCCTTAAATGTTTTACATTCTTAAAACAAGTGAAAGTGTTTGCTAGCTAGTGCATTGAGAAAATGTTTACCTTTTTCATTTGTTTCAAGTATTTTTTTCTAAAATCTAGTTACCCTTTTCTTCCTGCTCGAGCAGCAAGCTGATTTCCGTCTTGTGAAAAGCAGGTTAATTGCTCTTGGAGACAGGTGGAAATTCTCAAATTCTGTAAGGCTGAAGTTCCTTTAGGATGTATATTCTATGATACAATACAAAGTAGAGCATTATGCTACATTGCAGAGCTCAAACGCTCTGTGTTTAATGGCAAACATCAAGGAAATCATCTAAATATTGTATATTAAAGCACATTTTAGGATGAGAGGGATGCTAAGTGCGAGAGAATGTGACTTTAACACATCAAATGAAACACCCTACATCCTAGCCTAAGGTAGCTGGGTGTCAAACTACAAAGAAATGATGAAAACAAGGAAGTAATTCAGCTGTTGTTGAAGCTCCTGTGACATGGGACAAAACATACTTTGAGCAAAATGCCCTCAAACTGGCATTTACTGCAACGTTTCCCTCCATAATCGCACTGACATTATAAATGCATCAAACACTGCCTCCCTTCAGCAGCAGTGATGCCTGGGAGCGGGGGTCACCTGTATGCAGCATTACCGAATTAGCCGCTATCTAACCCAGACCTGCTGTGGCGTGCTGACACTAATCCCAGGCCTGCTAGAGAGCCCTGTCTGTGTTACATTATCATGTCTAATCCCCGTAATCTCTCAGCCGTGCCGCTAAATGCTATTTCACCTCCGTCTCTTACCTCATACCCCTCTAATAACATTAATGAAGGGCCGGGCCCCCATTAACCAGGCTACCCCAGTGGCGGGCTGGGTGACGGCCGTAATCGGAGGCACCCTGCACAGCCACCCACTCAGCCTTCCAGGCAGCACGAATTAATGTAATTCATCGCCTGGGGCAGAAAGCAAACCAAACATATGTTCAACAAATCAGGGTTTGTGTATTTTCTTGTCACCGTTACTGTGCAGGTCTATTAGAGTCATTGATGGGATCCTTAGTGGAGGGCTCGCCGTGCGGGAGAATGAGAGCTTTGAAGTGCTCATGCCACTTCGAAAGCCCCCCCACTTGCCATGAGACGTTTATGATGAGCTGACCCGGGTTATTAAAATACCGCAGAAATGATCACCTTTAATGCCGCTCTCTTTCTGCTGTCAACAGAGAATGGCAGCAGAGGATTGGCTGGGATGAAAGGTTGAAAGGGGCCCCGTATTAAAAATGGCACTTTATCCATTAAGGCGGGATTTCTGCTGTCTCTTTGTGTAATTACCTGCACCCGCCAGCTCTGTGCTCGGGCTTACCTTGTTTACACTGCATGTCTCGCAGTCTAGCTGTCTCCCTGCAAGGCTTCGTCACACTGTCTTCGGCTCTTCCTTTGTCTCTCTTGATGTCTTTCACTTGTCTGTCGAGGCCAACCTTGAAAGAGGAGGCGTAAACACAACCAGAAGAGTAACGTCAAAGACAGTAACGGATAAATAGACCCAAGTTAAAGCAAGCTCCGTAATGTATTTGTATGTTGTGTTTTTCAATTTAGTCATGTAGACACTGTATTCATTTATTTACAATTTGGCACTCATATAACTCAAACCCATTAATGTGCTTTGCAATGTTAATCAAATGCTAATGCAATTGCATATCCCCCTTCACTAGCCCTACCTCCTAGCAAACAGCACCACACTGACTTAATTGTGAGGGTGAAAAACAGCTCATACAGACTTCCTCTCATATTTAATTTTATCTTTGAATAAAAGAGCTATAGGAAAGTATTAATCTGCTTAACATTTCTAAGTACATCCTCCAAAGGATTTTGCTTTTTTAATCTTACATATGCTCAGCAGAGTTACTGGCAAAAACTGTACATTTTCCTCATTTCATCCTTTCAACATCAAATGGTGAGCAGCAAAAATTGGATCAGACTTCAAAGACTGTGATGTGCTCCAAGTCACGGAGTGGCTCTTCTATTTCACATATTGAATCCGAGCAGGATATCAAAGTGCTACCAAAGAACCTCAGGTCTTTACTAAAAAAGGGGTCTAACATCTGTAGAAAGAGGAGCGCAAAGACAAATCACCTCAGGGAAGAGCGAGCATTTATTCTCAGCCGTGAATTTCCAGCCTTTTGATTCTCTCGTTCCCGTACCACCCTGTCTTCTCCGCTGAGATGGAGCAAGAGAACTCTTTTGTCTCAAGGACTCAAAAAAATCCCAAAGAGTAATCTGGGTTAAAGCCGCTTTGTAGAGGAGCAGCATTTAATATACACGGCTAAAGTCAGGCGTCAGAAAATGCTCGTTGATACTTACATTTCCTCTATGTATGTAATCCGCGTGTGCGTCTTTGCTCTGTAGGATGTTAGACCTGTGAAAATAATGAGCATTTATTACTGAAATGAAGTATAATAGAACAACACACATTGTACATTTCTGGCTATAGCATAATATTGAAGAACTAAGGATGAATTGTACTTGGCTCCTTGTTTAATTGCAAAAACAGCTCTGGTTTATGATTATGCAATTTGCAGAGAGCGACGCAGGGACATGTGTCTCTGTGTGATCAATCGTTGTTGCATTATTTAAAAAAACAAACACCAAATGAGACAACATCTGCAAACACAATGCTGCATGCCAGTCGCAGTTATGCTTGGAGCCTAGAAAAACCGAATCTCATCCAGTTTGGACCTGGTGATGCAACTGGAGGCTCTGTTATTTGGATGCAAACACAGAATTCATGCGGGGCAGGGAGGAGGGATATCAAAAGGGAAAAGAACAGCATGTAGGTGAGAACATAGATCTTACAGGAGGAAAATGGGCCAGATCATGTCAAAAAAAAATCTATATGGAGAGATTCCAACACTGATTAAACAGAATTGTTAAGTGGAGGTTTGAAGTTTTTCTCACCAAGGAATATGATTGTAAACACGGAGAGAAAAATCCCAGATGGGGCTCCGCTCGGTTTGAGTATACAACAAGCATAACATTTTCAGAAGTGTAAATCTAGTATTTTGGAGTTTGGGTCTCAGAGATGCACAGCGTTGACCAAAAGTCACCCGAGCTTCCTTAAACACATGACATGAGCAATGCTACTCCACACACATGTGGTTTTAGATTATAGTATTATTCTTGCGTTGTTTTATGGAGCTCTTACACACACATGAAACATATCATATTTTGCCTCGTTGATAGATTTTTATTAAGTAATCTCAAACATCAGGATATTTGCAATAACTGTGTTGAGTTATGGTGCAGAAAGAAGAGCTAAAGATGGAGCTAAAAGCCGCCATCGACACCATGTGTGCTGCTGTTGAGTCAGTGGCTGCTCTCCTGCTTAGCACATACTTTCTTAATGACCGGCCTGCCCATATGTTGAATAAACACAACGTGATCAGCTCGTACATCTGGAGACCAGTGCAGCGCCCAACCCCACTTGTGGTGAGACAAGTGTGCTATCTTGGTGGAAAGATATTTATTACGTTTATAAAACTGCAAGAGGTGGTGCTTAGGGAAGAGCTTTGCCCTCTGCTTAAAACAACATTACATTATGGTGCAAGAGGAGATAACGCGGCAGGGCAACATCTGAGTGACAGCAACGTCTCTTGCTCAATAAGCTGTCTTTTATGGTACATTTATTTAAGGTCATATTCAAAGCTTATTGTCTGCACCAAACTCAAACCAAAACATGAATAAAAACGGCAGGAAACGGGAGCAGACCCTAAATGACAAGAGATGCCAAAGCTCACTCTGTGTGCTCCTCCTTGGTGGTCTTTCCTCCAGCCTCCGGATGACTTATGTGCCCCTGGGGTTCAAGGTCCTGACGCACCCGATGGCCCCTGAAAGCTGCACAGGATATGGAAGTCAGAAAACTCACATGGTCAGAAACTCATTTCACTCCCTGTGCAATCCATGGAAACAGCATACATGCAGTCTACTGAGGCAGATATTGAATGTAATTGGTTCAATGAATACAAATCACAACAATTTATCTAAGCAATAAAAATGCACCCTCTATATAAGGAGTGAAGGATAGCAGTGGGAAGACATTGTGTGGTTATTGAGACACACTGGGTTAGATTGATGGTAAACGGAGCCTGCTGACTTACTCCATCAACGGGCTTTGTGTTTTTCTTGTAAAATTATATGTGCAGGAAAATAAAGCTCAAGTACATTGTCGAGCCATGGTTCTATTTTGCATGGTCTAATCTGATCAATGGTGAGCATGTCCCCCAGGCCCCGCTGAGATCTGAGAAGCCACCAGGCTCATACATTTGAAAGGCATCTGTTTATTTTCAGAATGCAAATGCAGCCCACCTCAAAGGCTATAAGCTGCGGAGAACACACAATGTGAATGTGCTGGAGTGCTCCGCCGGGGGGCTGAGGCCCCACTTATGTCAGGTTCAGGTCCCCCCCCCCCCCCCCCCTCACCCTGAACCCCAGCGGCCACACACAAACACACTTCTCCAAAGAGAAAGCCAGCGGTGACAGAGAGGCTTTTCTCACACCAAAACCATGTTTACCCATTCTGCAGCGTTATTTACAAGAGTTTTAATGGAGGACATTTACACAAGGTGTGCAGGCGACTGAGATGCACCATG